TTTACAGCCACATCCTAATCAGCCTCTCATTTATAGAATGTTCACTTTGTCTGGTTTTGTTGCAGCATGCCCCATATATAAACAAAGAAGTGGGCTTATTATAATCCGAACTCTCCGCTCGTTAATTTATTAGGAAGAATATTGTTACTGGTCGGAGAGCTATTTGGTCTTTTTCTCCCCGCAACTCCTTGTGTATAATTATCATAGAATCAAATTTCGACAATGATATTATGACGAGCTTATTAGATTTCGGACAATGTTAATATTACGGTGTAGGTACATATCACCATTTACTTCATGCTGTTTAATAGTTGAAATTGCTAAATTACATCTACACTACATTGTTTATTCATTTCATAATTTGATGTTGGTAGAGTAAAGGCAAATTTCTTAACTATCAAAATATGAAATATGTCTGAATTAACATAAAGTTTGTCTCGTTTATACGATCAGGTCAACACGTTTACAGCCTAACCGTATTTCAATTTAATGAATGCAAATCATATTCAATGCAAATCAAGATCATCGTACGATAACAAAATACGATCTTCATGCAAATCCTTGTACAATTGACAGTCTAACCATACTGCTCTCAATGCAAAATCATTGTGTATCTATCATCGAAATTAGAAGATCAATAGTTCAAAGTTTTAATCAAGCGACTCTTATACTAATAACTCGCGTGCAAGAATACAGTTTATAACATTAGTTATACTAGCTGACACATTGTTTAATAATATTTTTCATTCAATCTACATATTAATATTATTGTATATTGACATAAATTCTAAACTGACATACAACAGTACAGATAAAATATGTTCTTTGAATAATGCCATATTTGAGATAAAATCTACGCGGTACAGCTGAAATGTGTAGTTCTAAATTGATAATTGCATATTTGCTGCTTCTGTACGTCGCGTAAGATGGCATGCGATCGAGTAATCGGAAGTTTAATGAAATCAGTGTAAACGGTCGAATTAACCAATTATCGAAAGTTTACACGTACGATAAACGGAAAGAATTTCATATGGGAAAATCGGGTCTTGGTCCCAGGCGATTAAATTCTGTAAAGTCGAATTATCGAGAGTCGAAATTAAAGGCAGTAGGCTGTTCGTCAACTATCATTTAACAAAATGTAAACTACTCAGATGTGAGAAAGAGATAGATGTGATAATAATAATATCATTAATAATAGTAATAGTAAAGAAGATAATCAATTATGCGAGCGGATGTCATCAACATTAATTATTGGGTCAGTAAAGAAAATCGGACAAAATAAAACTTAATGCCTTGATACAGTATTTAGCCTTTTCTTCTCTGAACCTGTTGTATACGCAAAAACCAGCGTCTAACACAGGGCTCAGGACATTCAACAGTTCAGCCCTCATAATAAAGATAATAATATTAATGTGTTGCATTATATAACCAATCGGTAGTCATGTTTGCCTGGTTGTTCTCATCAAATGAACATCATTTTGTTAATGTCACTGAAAGAAGAAATACAGCGTCAACGTTTGCAAGCGTCCATGCTATGCTTTCATTTGAACAAAACCTTTAGTTTTTTAGATATAATATTAAGCATTGCGTATAAATTCTAATATAATTTTATCTTGTACAATAAGTTTTTAAGTGTTCCTGCAGTGTGCATTCACCTATCACAATAACGATTCCAGTGTTTAAATTACTCCACATTCATCTCTTCATTGGGCAATTCCGTTGGAATGTTAGGACTAATACCAAGTAACGGTCCAAATATTTCGTACGCTTTCTCCATTCCCACCCATCCACACAACGGCGTATCCCCGAGCACGTATTGAGTTTTCCGATTATAAAACAATAACCCATCTGGATCGTATCCAAACTGTCTAGAGTTTTGCATAAGCATCGCAACATGTTCAGGCAGGCAAGTGAATACAGTGAGTGGCTTAAATGAATATTTTGACGTGTTGGTTGAATATTCAAGTTCGCTGAGCTTTGCCTGTAGCCAGTAAAATCTTTGTAAAAAAATATTGGAGTAACGGTTGGTAAGTAAACTATATTGCACATAGCATACGGAATACGGTTTTAAATGGGTTCACTATACCTGAATTCTGTATCGCAATCGTATATTGGATGACCTTTCCAACACATCAGGTCTAGGACATAGAACGTAGATGTTGTTTGGTCAAAAATGCAATCTAGTATACAATAATCTGTTGTTTTGTTTCCTCTGTAGGAAAGTGATCCAGCCGGTAATATAGATTCGAAGACATTCATTACAAAACCTAAAACAGTTTGAATCATGAATAACCGACAATAATGCTAGTCGACTTATATCCATAAATAACTGACCATGACGATGTCTGCAAGTAGTCTTCCCTGTTGATCGGTAATGCGAAATTATGTGAGCATAACAGATTTAAATAAATCATCAATATACATCAATGATAACATCATACCTTTGGCTGTTGTCAGAAGACATCGTTTTCCAACAGGGCACAGTACAACATACCAATTCTCTTGCAAGTCAGCAGGGATTTCTAACATCCACTCTGCATACATAATCTGGTTACTGTGAAAGATAAATGCCATTAGTGTACGTTACTGGTCTTTTTTCTTATAAAGGAATAAAAGGAGAGATTTGATTGATAAAAATATAGTTAATTTCCTCTTGCAACAGAGAATCCTTTCGAAGAAGTTCTTCGGCCAACAAAGATAATACTGATCTTTTATTTCGTATGATGAGATGAAACTTACCCATAAAGTTTGTTGTTCTTGGTTTTTTTATGAGGCCTTGCTCTTCTCGACCGTAAAGATTTTCTTTCGACAACTACGCCTTCCATTGAGCTACTTGCTTCTCCTGGACTGGGTTCCGTCTTGGCTTCAACGACATCTTGATCTCCTTCCTCGTCTTGTTCTTCGTCAGACAGCTTTATTGCTTGATAAAGCACCAACCTACGTGCATGATCAGTAAAGTCGCGTCGTCTCTAAGTAAAAGAAGATCATTATTGCTGACCTGTATCTCTAACCTTAAAGCATTCGTAAATCGCAACTGAAGATTAATACTCTCTGTTGTTCTTCCAAAGCTCGCCGTCTTCGAGCTTCTTGTGATTCTTCTAGAGACATTTGCATGAGTGGGGATGCTTTGTAACGTCTGTTCATGGGAACAGCCTGAGGTTCGGAAACAAAGTTCCCGGAAAAAAGCCGTGTTAGATCTTCGACAGACAGCGAGGACGCAGATGATGGTTGTGTCATGATAAGGAAGCGATGATATATTATCCGTCAGGGAGATTTCGAATTATTATTTGTAGAACCTACACCATACTCGAAATCTGATTGGTGCTCGACATCGTTAGCATAGTAATAGTGTATTAGTAAAGTAATAGAGAATTTGATGACGCTAGAGACATACTTTTACAAGTATACAGTTTGATAATCCTCACAACTTTACACAGTCGCTTTCTATTAAACTGAGTTTAGCATTTACACCTTACTATGAATGCAAAAGTAAAGGTAGCTTCCAAAAACTTGTTCAAGTCTCTTGCCAATGAATATTACTATTGTTTTTGGAGCATTAGGTGTATAAATTACTTTTGCACGGTCTCCATCACTATTACTCTTCTTAATAAAATTTAAAAATTTACGACACCTGCATTCGGAGTTCTCAAATCATTTTTTTAGTTTTCAACAGTGATAGCAACTTAGGATTATACTTTTTCTCTAACTCAGCAATTTCTTTTACGACTTTTTCTTCTTCTTCTGATATCTTAGCAAAAGCAAGTGTTGATTCTTTCAATTTTAAATCTAAACTTTATTGTTTTTCCTAAACAAAACCTTCTGGTAATTTTTTACTATCTCACCCACTCAATCTTCTCCGTTTTTAACAGTGTTAATTAATTGATAAGAAATAGAATTATTTCTTCTTTGCTCCATTAAAGCAATTAACAATTGATTACCATTATTACTAAGAATATCATTACTTTGCTCAGTTTTCAAACTAGCCTCTGCTTTTTTACAATTGTTTAATAACTGAGCAGTATCTTGAAGGAGTGTCTTATCCAAAGTGCCATTTGATTTTAAAAGATTACTATCAAAGGTAGCCTTTTTTTCCGGTTTAAGGACTCCCCCATGATAATTGGAATATTCTTTTGCCTCATCTATTTACTATTGCATTTATATCATCTTTTTTGAATGTCATAATTTTAATTCCTATATTATAATTTTAATATTAATATCATTAAAAGATTAAATGTCCCTCATTTATAGAATTAAGAATGTTCACTTTGTCTGGTTTTGTTGCAGTCTGCCCCATATAACAGTGTGATTGTAGGGGGGGACGACTGTAGTTTGGGTTATTTTCCTCGAATTTATCAACATCATGTAGTAGTAGTGTTGCTGGAACCTTCAAAATTTGCTATATTACCATATCATCTAATCTTATATTGCCATGGTGAGGGGATGCAACTGCCTTGTGAAGAAAACTGGTGACAATTGTGAATTAAATATTAAAAAATACTTTTGGAAGGCATTCAGCAAATTTTTTGGAACTTCAGCTGAGTTATCGCGGAAGAAAATTGTCACTACAGTACGTTCGTTAGCTTAAAGCAACTGCCATAAGTAAAGATTCAAAACGATAATTAATTTTGTCATTTAATTGAACAAATAACGTTTTCCGACTAGTCGAAACATTAAATCGAAGATCGCCCTATTTAAATTGGAAGCCGTCACTTGCCCGACAATTATTTGCCCGACAATTATTTGCCCGACAATTATTTGCCCGACAGTTCATTTCCCGACACCAATATTTACCAGCATTATTTCAAAGTTATCCTTTTTTGGGTAGTTTTTTGTCGGGCAAATGGACTGGACCCATTTAAAAATAGTACTAAATTTTCCCTTCTAATTTTGCGACGATATGACTGTTGTTATTTTATTGTAGGTAATGTTATTCAAATACGAGTATAAATAGAATACATCGTATTGGGAGTAAAAGTAAAGCGCGCGTATATTGAATGAACGCAATGGAGAATTATAGCTGAACAATGTGAAGGACCATATTATAATCTATAGAACGCATAAACAAACTATTAATTTTTTGTTATAGACGGGGAGAAAAAGCCAATCAACTCAAGTGCAAATATTCTCAATGTTATAATCCAATGCGACAAAAGCTCTTTTTCTAATAGTTCTTGAACAAGCAATAGTCGGTGTTTTTTTTCTGAGATATGATTTATATAAACAATATGTATATTTACAATTAATAGTAAGTTTTTACGATCACTTGGGCGACTATTAAATGTATTTGTTGAAACTTTAATATCATCTAACGTTGTTAGAAACACCGTATTGCCGTCAACAACAAAAACTATCTAATCCTTTATAACGCATCCTTCTGTCGAATTATTTTGTTCACATGGCTCAACTGCCTGTCGGATCGAGAGTCTAACCTACAAATAATTTGATGAGACTTTAAACTACGATCCCATTCAATGTGGGTTCGCGTTTAGCGTAAAGTCGTATCTGACATCACATGATATGTATTGTTGTGGCGTTCAGGACGATTGTGGCACAGATTGCTATTCACTTTTAGACCCTCTGAAAATGCACTGTCACCGAATCCAACGTTTGCTCAAATATACGTTTTCTTCCGTAGCGACGCGCCTCGTACAGCGAAAGAAAGTAGGACGAAACCCCATGGCAGAATTCAACAGAGCATCACTCGAAGAGTTATTAAAGAAACGTTTCTTCTTTGCTCCTTCTTTTTCGGCTTATGGAGGTAAAGCGCTCTCACCTCTCACTCCTCGTACTCTAGTTTGTAGACTCGCATAAGTTTACTCTTTTTGTCCTCCTCTCCGACAACACAGGCGTCGCTGGTCTGTATGACTATGGCCCTCCAGGCTGTGCTCTCCAGGCTAACATACTCGATTTGTGGCGCAAGCATTTCGTGCTTGAGGAGGATATGCTAGAAGTAGATTGTACTATTATGACTCCACATGACGTACTAGAAACTTCTGGTCATGTGGAAAAATTCACAGATTGGATGGTTAGAGATTCACAAAGTGGTGAAATTTTCAGAGCTGATCATCTGATAGAAAATGTATTGGAGACGCGTTTAGAAGGGGATAAGAAAGCGAAGTCAACCGATACTTTATCCGCCACGGCGAGTAAAAATAATACCAAAACGAAGAAAGGGGGTGCTGTGCCCGTTCTACTGGATAGTGCAACCAAAGCAGAATACGAAGAGATCTTGGCAAAAGTTAGTTGTAAAGATCGTGTTTGTGTTAAGAACGACGATTAAATTAGTGATGTAAATGTTTGTCACGCGGCTTATTTAGATTGACAATTACACCGGCCCCGAGCTTGGTGAAATCATAAAGAAGCATAATATCAAGAATCCCGAGACTGGTGGCGATCTTACGGATCCTGTTGAATTTAATCTGATGTTTGAGAGTAGCATTGGACCAACTGGTTCTCTCAAAGGGTATCGTAAAAAGCCATTCGCTAAGACTGACGTTTGTCATTTTTATTTACTACTGAAGTAATTCTTAATTCACAGTTACCTCCGTCCCGAAACCGCACAAGGTCAATTCCTTAATTTCAAAAAACTTCTCGAATTTAATAACGATAAGATGCCGTTTGCATCTGCATCCATTGGACGATCATTTCGAAATGAAATAAGTCCACGGTCTGGATTACTTCGTGTCAGGTACGTATCCCAAGCACTTTTGTTGATGTTTCCACATGGTCGTGGTGTAATCCGTGCAATTGCAATGTTAGAGAGTTTGTCATGGCCGAGATTGAACACTTTGTCGACCCGTTGAGTAAGGATCATCCTCGGTTTGATGAAGTAAAAGATATCAAGCTGAGATTATTGGACAGTTCAATTCAATCGGAGGGAAAGACTGAACCAAAGGAGTTAACCATTGGCAAGGCTGTCGAGGAGGTGAAGCTTGCGCAAATTTTTATGTGCGATTTTTTATTTATTTTGTTGATATTGAAACTGACATTATAATTTTGTATTCTAGAAAATAGTTGATAATCAAACTCTTGGTTATTTTCTAGCTCGAATCCAGCTTTTCCTTACTAAACTCGGAATAAATCCCCAACGACTTCGATTCCGTCAACATATGTCAAATGAAATGGCCCATTATGCATGTGATTGTTGGGATGCCGAGATTCAAAGTAGCTATGTTTGTTATCAACCCTTTATATCCGTTGTTATTGTGTTTCGACTGTTAGTACTTAATCTCATATTAACCTAACTCATGCAGGGTTGGATCGAATGTGTTGGATGTGCCGATAGATCTGCATTTGATTTGACAGTGCATTCTAACCGAACGGGTGAAAAGCTCGTTGTAAGGGAAAGTTTACCTGAACCTAGAGTTTACGAAAAGACTGTACTGGACATTAACAAGAGGATATTTGGGCCGAGGTTCAGACAGAATGCCAAGACATTAGAGTCATACTTGTTAGGGCTGAGTGAGGCAGAACTGGAAAAACTAAAAAGCGATATCGAAAGTAACGGAGGGTATGTATTTTCAGATTGGCAATATTTTTCTCTTTGCGTGCAACGTAAAAATTGTGTCGATAATTTCTAATTCGTATGCAGGAAAGCTACTGTCAACCTTCCCAATGGGAATTCATATGAAGTCGGGTCAGATTTCTTGACTATTGGGCGCCAGACGTTTACAGAACATGGTAAATAACACAAGTCTTATAGACGTGGTTGACAAATTTTACGCGCTTTTGGTATTCCAAATTGGCTAACGGTTATATTGTAGTTCGAGAATATATTCCTAATGTAATAGAACCGTCGTTTGGCATCGGTCGTATTCTTTATTCTCTAATTGAACATGTTTACTGGACACGTGAAGGGGACGAACAGAGAGCGGTAACTATAATACATATAGTTGGCAAAGCTTGTTATGACATGAATTAATCTAACTCTACGTTCATCCTCAGGTTTTATCTTTCCCACCACGCGTGGCACCTTTCAAATGCTTACTAGTTCCACTTAGTAATAACGCGGCATTTGCCCCATTGGTTCGTGACATCTGTAAGTCATTTCTTGTAACTGCACTCGCGCTGTTAATCACAGCTTACCACTCATTGATATGACTTTTGTCCGTATAGCTTCCCGTTTGCGAAAGTTGAACATTCCGATAAAGGTAGATGACTCTTCAAATTCCATCGGTCGTCGGTACTCGCGTAACGATGAACTCGGTACGCCATTTGCCATCACAATCGATTTTCAATCGACGAATGACGGTACCGTTACATTACGCGAACGAGATTCAACTAAACAAATCAGAGAGCCAGTAAGTAAAGATTTTATTATTATGATTTAAAATCGAATTTGTAAACATAAAATACGTTACTTTCACTATCCACTCACTGTTTACATATATATAGGTGGATGTAATCTTGGACATTGTCAAGGAACTTGTAGAGGAGAACACCACCTGGAAGAACGTAATGGAAAAGTACACAACATTTGTACGACAGGAGCTTGATTAGATGTTAGATCAGATTTAGATGTATTTGTTCTCTCTTATGTTTATTTCACAACGAAAGTTTTTTTTAATAGATTTCTTTAGTGAAAGAAGTAATCAATCGAGACTATTTTGCTAATTACACAGACACTCTCTATTGGTTATTTGAGTTTCTGATGTTCTTAAATACTCTGCCATGTCGGAATCGATTGAAGCATCGTGTTTGACACTAACATAACTTGATTTAAACGGATCATTAGGAATGCCCACGGGGAGCATTTGATATCTTAGACGTAGACGTAATGCTTCTTGCTTAGCATATTCAATATCACTGAGACTGGTTTCATCTCTCCAGATTGGATGACGAAGTTTGCCAAAACAATAATGTGCCGGATGTCGACTGGTGAGAAAAGGTTGAGGACATGTTTGAGATATCGTACGAAAAGAAAAAAGAGAAAAGGCTTGCTTACCGTCGTATTATGACTTTCATCGGTTGCTGCGAGATTCCGAGGTCTTTGAAATAACTTGCTAAAGGCCTCCATTTATTAGAGAACCAATGTACTGTGACTATGGAGCAAATAAGATAAGCATCGAATATCATACAAAAATATCTGTCAAGAAGTAAAAGTTTTGTTTGTTTTTTGTTTTTTCACTCACAATAACCGGGATAAAAGATTAGCTCTTGAGATCGAATTTTACGTTTGTGATTACGCTTAAAATTATTTTCGAAATCAGCCAACCATCGATTTATGTACTCTTTCCTGAAATCCCCACACCATTTCTCCTGATGCTGTCGAGTCGCACCATACGTGGCTCTCCGATTACATTTCTAACGATATTGATTTACTACAGTAAACACCAGAAAAACGCTTGCAATTAGAAAAAATCCCAATGTAGTTCATGTCACCTACCTTGAAGTGTTCTTCTTCGAATTGTTCTGTTGCTTTTTCCGCTTTCCAGGCAAGTTTATCAAATTTATCAGCAGTCTCTTCCTTGAATCCAGCGGTTAGTGTAGCGAGCTCTGCATCTGTAGGTTTCCTTCGTTTCACATGGAAATAGTCTGTTTTTGCAGATTTTAATTTGAGTTCTACTGCGCGATCGAATTCTTCTTTAAAGAGGCCTGTGATGTACTCCATACTTTTGTTAAATAAGCACTGTGTGTATAAATTGGTGTGGTTATTCTTTAGCTAAGTAGGTAGAAGGTTTATTTGCTATCTATGAAATCTAAACGCGGGGCGGAGAGTTACGCGAACATGATCTATTTTATACTTATGAACACGTGTTGAAGCATCATCCAATAAAATTGCAAATCCAGAGATAATCAAGGATTATCGTGGGTTTCATTATCTGTTTTTTTGAATTTTTTCGTAGATATCAATAAGACAACAGCAATTGTAATACTAATTAAACTTAATTATCTTGTTGTTATAAATAATTTTTTGTTAAAGAGCTGCACCACCAGATTAAAGCTACGGTGCTTTTTAAGCTTTAAAGATATTTGCAATTTTATTCGACTTATATTACAAAAATGGAAAAAATTTTCCATAGCCATGACACGCGACTTCTATCGTAAATTCCCATAGCTCTGCAAATATATTGACAAACTTATGCGAACGACAATTGCGCTCTTTATCACGTTATTCAAACAAAAAGTATCAGTTTTATGCCCTAGCTAACAAGGACCACAAAGCTACCGGTTACAAGCATGCACGTTGAAGCATGGAGGATTTAGAGAATTTTTGACAAGAGAAGATGAAATTCTATTCCAGGGTCCGTTTTAATAACTTAGTGAATTAGGTGTGGCGTCGTTTTGACAATAACAGTGAACGAATATAATAATAAGTCTATATAATGTGTAGTTAATTATTCTTACTTTAGCATGACAAGAAATAATGGAGAGGAATTGTATTAGACTATAAAAACGTCTCTTGCCCTTTGCAGTACAGGTATGTATTACATCTTCATTTGCAATTTACTCATTTCCCATTGATTGTACTAACTCACTGCTACTGCTCAGTCTTACTATCTCGTTTTGAGACTGGTTGTAAGCATTTGTGAAATTTGCTAATTATGCAAAAGGAACTGGAGTAGAAAAAGATGAACAAAAGGTTGTTGACTTTGTATCAAAGGCAGCTGAATAAGGAAATACCAAGGTAGAATGCAATCTTGGGTGGTGTTATGAAAATGGGACTGGAGTAGAAAAGATGAATAGAAAGCAGTTAAGCTGTATCAAAAAGCTGTTGAACAAACAAATGTCCAAGCACAATACAATCTTGGATAGTGTTATGAGAATGGAACTGGAGTAAAAAAAATAAACAAAGGCGTTTGAGTTGTATCAAAAAGCTGCTGATCAGGAAAATGAAAATTATCTTGGTTGCTATTATGCTAAGGGAGTTGGAGTAGAAAAAGATAAACAAAAGGCAGTTGAATGATACCAAAAGCTGCTGATTGAGATAATGTTGATGCACAGTTTAATCTTGGTTTTTGTTATTAGTATGGCATTGGTGTGAAGTATAATCAAAAAGCAATTGAATTAACGAGACTGACAAGGATTCAGTGCAGCTTGAGGACAGATTTACAACATCAATTTTTTAATGTTAGTGATAAAATATTAAAAGCGAAAAAAATACAAGTGGCAGAATTCTATCAGAAAAAGAATGAGACTAGATAAGCAGTTTGTCATGTAATCATTGTAATTGTGCTTTAGAAGACATTACCGCTCGACGCAAGCGAAAAGTGTTATAACATTACTGGACTAAATGATAGGGGTTAGAGTTTTTAAAAAGAATAGTTGGTTTGGGAAATTCGTCTAGACTGTGATTATTGTCATAATTATAAGTAAAGGCTATTTACGATCTCGATTTGTAAAATACTCCATAGATAAACAAAATAACCCCAAGAAAATATACATGTAACGACGCAAAGCCCTCTCCCTCCTAACCAGTATTTCTCTCCTTTCCTGAAACTCCATTTCCTCCCTTCTAAGCACTGCCATTCTCCTCCCAGGCAACGCCTCGCCATCGGGCAAGCACGAAGGTCTCTACCACGCCACTTATTCTTTGAGTGAAAAAAAAACTCTAATACATGCCTCCTGTATAGACTTTACGCCTTTGACTATTCTCAGTACTGGCTATCAACTCGAGAGATTATAAGTAGCATTCTGTTTTTTGTCTATAAGGGATTCTATATTGGTACATTCATCGAGGAATCTAACAATATCCCAATCTGACACTTTTCGTCCGAAATATTCATGTATGCAGAATTTGGTATTCCCAAATTCCGCGCGAATATCGATGTCACCATCTCCTCTGCCACTAAAAAACGAATAAATAATTAAAACCAATATAACAGCAATACGTTATAAGAAAAAACTTTCTTACCTAATCGTTCTAGAACAAAGCCTGCTTGGGCAAGCTTTCGTGCGATAAAGATTTCGAACGCAGTCCTCCTCTGGTTGTAGACATTGTTCGTACAAAGAGAGAGAGAAAGAGAGAAAGAGAGGGGGAGAGAAAACGCGGTTGTATGTGCGTAATAGGGACCAGCCAAACATTACGGTAATAGTTTTTATCCCTCATGAATATTTTAAATAATTATGAACTACCGAAAATTGCAAGTGAAGGAGAACCGCCGACGCGTGTTATATGTATCGTCAGTTGCAACCTATACATAACAAGGAGCGTGAGAATCTGATATATCGTTTAGTGTAACACCATGACACCATGACATCATGACTATTGTTTTGGTAAATAATAAATTTTTACTGATTAGCGAGTTCGACAAGCTACGTATGATGTAATTAATAATATCTAATAAAAACTTTTTACTGTGTATACTCCGGATATACTCCGGACCTGTATAACCTCCAAAAATAGACAATTTTTCTGCTGTTATTTGTATTGTTATCAATGTTATATCAGTTGCATACGCGTGGCTTATTGTACTGTAGTTGTATAATCTTCAAAAATAAACACTTCTCCAAATTTTCTAAATGTTCTACTGTTTTTTATACTACTGTTATTAATATTACTACTCATAGATAATTGAAATTAAATGCGTGGTTTATCGGAAATGCTAAAAATTTTTCTAAATGTTTCTTCAGTATGTGATTATATGTCGTTGTTATATCATATTGTTATCGATATTATCAGTTTAATTAACTTGTTAACCAGTGAAAATTTTTTACTGCGTATACTTCGGACCTGCTATTTATATGGCCTCCAAAAAATAAAAAATTTTCTAAAGGTTTTCTACAACATGTGATTATTCATTATTGTTATATTAATATAGATTGATTTTACAGTATGTAACTGCCTTCATTATTATAAATCCTTTAAAGTGTTTCTACAGCATGCGCTGTTTATATTTTTATATCCAAAAATAAATGTTTCTACTCCAACATGCAATGTTATCTAAAATATAAACAAACAATTCATCGAACAACAGACAACCATTCCACTATTGCCCGGCCGAACTTTGACACAAAAACGATGCGGCAATGTACTCAAACCATTGTACATATTTTGCTACAACAAACCTCCCCTCCTCCAACGCGCAACTACAGCGTTATCAGCTTTCGCCGCACTCCGTATTACGACACATGCGACGGTTTGGATAACTCACAACCAACGTCTTACTATTACCCTCCTCGATCACAAATCAAAATTTTTACCCCTCTGTTTAAATTAATTCTTGTGCAACTCTGTATTTACTTTAAACAAGGTGAGAATTTTCACCGAGTACTTATTGTATCCAAAGTCACGCTGCCACTGGGTGAGAAATATCTGAATCGAAAGCTCATCGTGGCCACAGTATTCGTAGTATTCGTGTATCATATTAGACACATTTGATATATATAATATCTGAAGTTACGCTGCCAGAAGGCGTTGCCTTTACTGAATCTGTTAACGCCGAGATGGCTGTGGTCTAACCCACTACTTGTAACTTATACTGACTGAAATCGTAACCAAAAAAATCTATAATAAAAGTGACCGATTTTATTAGAAATATAAGAGCGATAATCGTGTAACAGAAAAAAAGAGTAATGATGTCACCGTCAAAAAAAAATACCGAGACGTGTCTATCAGAATTAATACTAATACTAATACTCTAAGCATGTCGGAAAATTAGGTGCATAAATATTTTGATCGCAAGTCCTCCAAGTGGAATACAGTCGGACCCCGTTATAACGAAATGCATTATAACGAAATGCATTATAACGAATTTTTGTTATACCGAAGCAAGGGTTACTTTTTCCTTTTTTTTTTAATATTTAAATTTGATCGTTATAATAGTAAACCTCGTTATTCCGTTACCGAAGTTCGGTTGGAGGATTTTTGTATATTGCACTAGTCGCTTTATAACGAAGTTTATCACGGGACATAGAAATTTGGCATGGTGATTGGTTGTAGTAATTGTGGTCATAAACAACAATATGGTCGCCACTGTCTTGACTAAAGATGCCATAACCGCTTTAAAACTAGTTCAAAACGTACTAAATAATTGTCAAGCCAATAGAAAAGAAAGAATATAATTTAGAATGAGCTCAAAGTCTTTTGTTCATTGAAAAGGAAGGTGGAATTACATAATGTTACAAGCGCAATCTAGAATAAATTCTTTCTTCCTGTATATTGATATTTATTTTGCAACTAATAAATATTGCTTACGAAAGCCTCGATATACCGAATATTACTTGATTTTAGGCTAGACTTCGTTACAAAGAGAGTGTTTGTTTTACCGAATTCCTCGTTATAACGAATCATATATGACTCTCCCGTGCCTTCGGTATAACGGGGTTCGACTGTACTACAAGTTTTTTGGAAGAATGCGATGCAGAACCGTTCAGAAAAAAAATTAGTCAATATCTTACTTCTCTCGAGAACATCATTGAAAAAAAGGATGGCAACAGGAGTATAAAAGCGCATGAGTTGCATGATCGTTATAAACAGGCAACTCAAGAAATTTTTTTTATTAAAATAAAAAAATGGTGGCGCGGCAGGGATCTATAAGATGCCTGTTCGTTCAAGTCTATGGGACGAGCTACGAAGTAGTGTTGGGGCGCATGCAATCTTCGGGATTGTCTGACGCTCAAGACTTTGGGTCAACTTAGCACTAACCCTATCGGTGCACAAATAATCTT